TTTTTGGCCCTCATGTCCCTCCGTCGTCGGACTAAATTTGCCCCCACTTCCTCTCCGTCTCGGCCGTATCTAGACCCACAGTGTGTAGCACAGACCACGCTTCAATATTAAGCATAAATCAAAAATGTCTGTGTCAAGCTTACAGCAACACACTGCTGTAAGAGTATAACCAGGAAGTGAGGTAGGAGGGCAAAATAGGTTTAGCGCCACCGCAGCACAGGAGGGAGAATTACACCTAGGAGCAAATGGATAAAAATAGACCGGAGGAAAAAAAAACATGAATCGATTCTCTTGCGGACGTATCGATGCATCGGATCGTCGGCTGTTGGATCGATGCATCGATACACAACGATTATTATTTACACCCCTATCAAGTACGGACTGAGAACACAGGAGAGTATGGACTCTGGGAGAATTGGAGCACAGAGCTTAAATCTGGGTCAATTGGAACAGAAAGGCACTGATTACATTACCACATTAAAAGCTGGTCTGGAGCTGCATTTCACCTCCTGTTATTAATAGTCTCTAGATAATAATAAATCATGACTGTTTTCATTTAGTGGGAGAATAATAATTAACACACTCAGATAAAAACAAATCAAATGAATGTTTTGCCAAATAAATCAATCAAACCTCCATCATAGCGGTACTTCACATTCAGCGGTATTTCACAAACGGCTATGCAGAGAGAGGGCTGCTGCAGACGGGCTAATGTTAGCCCTGGCTGCGTTTAGCCTCAGAGCTCCGCTGGTTTCCGCGGTCCTCTCAACATCTGAACTTTTTTTTTTTTTATTACGCACTAAATCAGTAAATGGGCCATATAGTGAAGCTTAAAGTATAATATTCTCGCCTCAAATTATCTTAAACCTAACTTTTATAGAACAACGGCGACAGAAAAGAGAACATTTAACTCAATACTCTGCGAGCGCTCCATTGGAAGCTGCTGCTGCCGCAGTGCATGCTGGGGCAGCTGTCAATCTCAAGAACAGACAGGTCTGCTCTGATGCATGCTGGGTAAAGAGGGAGGTGCTAGAATAACATCTGGGGGCTTTGTCCGTTCTCGGTCTGTTCTTGTGAATCAGAAGAGTACTAGGGCTGAAGCTGATGATGTTTCATTAGCAAAGGAGAACGCACAAGTACACATATTGAGAAACGGCCTTAGACTCTGCTGCTTGGGAACATTATGGTTCTTCTGCAGATGGAGCGGATCTGAACTGAACGTAAACATTACTGGTTCTGGTCCAGAGTCCTACAAGTATGAGATGTGAGCGGAATCTATTCAGGTTTAGCTGGGACACTAGGCTGTCTGGAATTTAGATCAACTCCGAAGGGGTTTTAAGGTGGTTTTATTCTGTCATGGACTCTGTTTAAGGGTTCTGGTTCTACTCAGGCACTTTGCTTGTAAGTCACTATAAACATCCAGTCAAATCTCCTGTTTTTTCTTAGTCTTCGTCTTTTTAAATGAATTAAAATCCAATTAATTGCAGAGAATAAAAAAAACAAACATATTCTAACATCTGACTTTAGTAGAACTTTGAAGAGCTGTGAAAGAAAATGATCCAGAATCGTACAGAAGGTGAAAAAAACCCTCCCACTGGAAAAACGATCTACAAATAAGTAGAAATATCTTAAATTAAGTGTATTTACCCTTTATTTGAGTAGGAAAATGAGATCGGTTTGGCAATGGAATGAGTATTTTTATTCTTAAAGTAAGATAATTAGATAAAATGCACTTGAAATAAGACAATGAATTACGTTTTCTTATTTTTAATATTAATTGTCTTGTTCCATTGGCAAAATGCCACTTTTACCTTCTCAATCCAAGAAGAAATGCACTTATTTTAAGAAAAAAAGACTTATCTAGTGAATTATCCATAAGCTAAAACAAGCAGGAAAGGCTGCTGCTCTGCCAGGAAATCAGGCAACAGGTCAAGGATTAGAGCCGACTGCTTCTATGTTCTGACTCCATCTGCCTCATCTAGTTCCAGGAAAAAGTCTCATCGGTAATCAATCACTGAGAATCTACTCACGGTGTAAAAGCCCAGGTTCCTGAGCAGCGTCTTCATCAGGATCTCAGCCAGGTGGGTGTCTGGGGGGGCCCCCGTGGTGCCGTAGCTGGGGTCGGGGTACCCTGCGAAGGTGGGGCCGGAGGACAGAGCATCAGGGCCATCTGCCGGGGAGCTGTAGCCGAGCAGCGAGGCTACGTGGGTGTGGTCCTGGAGGCTGGTCAGGATGATGTCCAGCTGCATCCTCTGAAGAAAAAACTGCTTCTTTAGAAATGTGACTGATTTCAGCCGCGGTTCTGGTTAAATAACGATGAAAACATCAACACAGCATGAAGAAACGTCCAGATCAGGACTGATCTGGGGGTGTGGCGGCCTAGTGGCTATGGCATAGAGCTTGGAATCCTAAGGTTGTGAGTTTGAAACACACTGCCACAGGCTGCCACTCTGAGCAAGACCCTTAACCCCACACTGCTCCCCAGGCGCAGAGGAGATGGTCGTACCTGTCCTTTAGAGAGACTCTCCCATCTGTCGGGGCCTTGAGGCAGCAGGGAGTGAAGCAGCTCCATCCTCTCTCTCAGCGGGGGCAGCAGCATGGTGGCCCCCACAGACAGCGTCTCGATGACGGCCTGGTGGGAGAAACACGCGGTCAGAGCTTGGCTCCATTTAAAGATCTAGATTCATCAGATCAGGACTGAATGATCCTCATCATAAAGTCATCCTGTTTTTTTTCTGTATTTGCTGTTGGTTCGAGAACCAGATTCCAATTCTGGTTCTGAGACGGTCCATGATGACTCAGAACCAGAACAATGGACCGGTTCTGATCGCCTCTTCGCCACAGCGTACCTCTTGGATCTCATCTGGCACCGAGGCGTCCATCAGCCTAAAGAGAAGGTTCCTCAGTGGCCTGGCCTGCCGACCCAAGATACTCGTGGCCACGCCCCCAGCCAGAGCCAGAGCCAGGTGATTGGATAAAAGCCGAAGGCACAGTTTGAGGAAGTTATGATGCTCCCTGTGAACACGTAGAAACATTTAATCTGCATCTTCCTCGCAGCGCCTGAACTAATGCCTCATGTGTGAGCGCCCTCACCTGGACGAGGGGAAGGGCAGCGGGGGAACGTCGCTGTTGATGCCATCACAGTACCGCTCCAAGAAGGAGCGCAGATGAGAGAAGGTGCTTTCCTCCAGGTCCACACAGTACGGCCGATGCCAGGCAACCACCTGCCTGTAGAATCAATCAATCACTCAGAAGATCTGAGAACATCAGGAACAAAGATCTATGATGTCATCTAATTGGTGGAGCTTCCTCAGAGAACCAGGGACCATCGGCGGCATCCTGCTGATTCATGTCCCAAAGACATGATTTTGGACAAACAGCTTTACCTTTGTATTTCTGACTCTTGTTCCCCCCCCCCAAAAAAAAAAGTTTTATGCAGAAAAAGAAAGTTCAATCAAATCAAATAAATCTGCTCAAATGTGATAAAAACACGTGACATGCCAATAAAGTATTTCAGTGTATCACATTTTATTTAGAAGCTAAATTATCAACCTGCCCAGACATTTAGGATTAAAAGATAATTTCCTGCCATGAAACCAAAGGAAGGAAAGAAAATCCCTACGTTTAACTGAACTTAGTGATCTTCGAACTCTACGCTTTCATCTAATAAAAGCTTCTTCTTAAAGAAATAGTACACCCAAAACATGATTAGCCTTCATTTTCTACTCACCCCCATGCTGAACAACACTCTGGAGTACTTTTTTGATATCTCAAATGCATCTGGAGATCTGGGAGGCTTCTTGCTGTCTGCTGACATTCAAATAATGGAGGTCTATGGCGCCCGAGGCAGAAAGGTCCATAAAAGTCCACAAAAAACGTGTCAATATTCCTCCATACTGCTCGTCCAATGTATTCCAAGTGTCCTGAGTGGGTAGCATCCAGAATTTACTCGAAACGAAGTCATTTAGAATGTTTTTAGAGCATAAACAGTAGTGTATAGGACTTCCTGAAAGCGCGCACCTGCGCGTTCACGACGCTACGGAAGCCGGCAGACCAAGCCAGATGAAAGTGCGCATTCAGCGTCTGCTCTGCCGATAATGCAAGCGTAGAAGAAGAAATGTGCTGTTTACCTGTGCAAAGAAAGAAACAACGAAAGAAAAATGTCTGAGGACTTCAGTGTTGAGGAAGAGCATGAGTTCTTTGCCGAGCTGAATGCGCACTTTCATCTGGTTTGGTCTGCCGCGGTTTCCATAGCGTCGTGAACACGCTTTCAGGAAATCCTATACACTATTGTTTATGCTCTAAAAACATTCTAAATGACTTCGTTTCGAGTAAATTCTGGACGCTACCCACTCAGGACACTTGGAATACATTGGACGAGCAGTATGGAGGAATATTGACACGTTTTTTGTGGACTTTTATGGACCTTTCTGCCTCGGGCGCCATAGACCTCCATTATTTGAATGTCAGCAGACAGCAAGAAGCCTCCCAGATCTCCAGATGCATTTGAGATATCAAAAAAGTACTCCAGGGTGTTGTTCAGCATGGGGGTGAGTAGAAAATGAAGGCTAATCATGTTTTGGGTGTACTATTCCTTTAACTGAGTTTATTCTCTGCTCCAACATGGACTTTAGTGACTTGGACTGAGGGTCTGCTCATGAATTGATGAGCTAGTGACTCTTAAGGCTGATTTATACTCAGAAATCAGGTCGTCTGCTTGTGTCGCAATTAACGCAGTTTTGCCCGAGTGCCTTCCGCAGACACCAAATCTACATCTGCTCTACTCTATGCGTATTTCCTGTTTGGTACCTTATCGGCTTGTTTTGTTTGTATGACAGCCATTGCGGAAAACAACATGAAGATGGACCAGCTAGAAGAGCGAGGTTTGCAAGAACCCTGGGACCCCTTTTCCACCTGGATCCCCGCTTCTCATGTCCCTTCATTGTCACAAAAACTTGCCCCCACTTCCTCACCGCCTCGGCCGTATCTAGACCCACAGCTATTTCATGGTTGCACCTCTTGTGTTGTTGTCTCCCAGCAGGAGAGATACGAGGGAAAACTTAAAGACGTCTGCTTTGAGGTTTAGGAAACAAGATAGACTCTGATAAACAGGATCAAAACATTTCAATACCAGCAGAAGAAAGCATAACTCCATACAGACACCTGCTGCTGTAAAGGGCCCACCTGTCTCTGGGCAGAGCGGTCCAGGCCAGGCTGTGGGACGTCCCTGCAGAGATCTGCTGGATGGCCACCCCGTCCAGGCCGACCACCTTCTTGGGTTTAGTAATGGGGCCAGTGGAGTTGCCCTGGCCACACTGGCCCATGGAATTATTTCCCCACGCATAGACCTCGTTGTCTGGGTGAAGATAGACCCAACATCAGACCCCGAGAAGGAAAAACAAGACAAAGAAATGAAGAGAACTAATGTAACATAAAGCTCATGTCAGTGTGCCCTTTGTTCTGTCGTCCTTCTTTCAACAGTCCTGCTCACTCAGCAAATCCTCATCTGAACAGTGAGTCAACAGTAACAAAGCACCACTGGATGAAAAGAAAGGCTATGATAGGAGCAGTACCATGAGAGAGGGCCAGGCAGTGGCTGTCCCCGATGGAGATGTCCACCACTCTGGTCGTAGCCAGCTCCTCTATCATTTTGGGCCTGAGGGACGTGGCTTCAGACGAACCGCAGCCCAGACAGGCGCCGCAGCCCCAAGCGTAGACCTGGAGACACAGGAAGGGGAACTGATCAGAGCCACTTAGAAAGAACAAGGTCTGCAGCCTTCCTGCCTGGAATTACAGACCAAATTCAGCCAATCAGACCAAAATATAAACTTCTTTTTTCCCCACCTTAACTCAGATCAAAAATCTGGTTTCTAACAAGAGGTTTAGGGACAGAAAATGAGCTATTAGCTGCTCAGCTTCTGAAGCTAATTAGCTTCTCAGCTTCTGAAGCTAATTAGCTGCTCAGCTTCTGAAGCCAACAAAAAAAAAAGAAAAAGAATGAGAAAAATCCTACATGAAATAAAGATCTCCTATTCTTCTAGGATCCAGGATCTGACAGTGGGAGGAGCTTCCTAGATGTCCTACCTGTCCGGTGGAGGTGAGCGCCAGAGACGACTGACTTCCTGCACAAACTTTCCTGATGAACATCCCCTGCAGGGCCTCCACCACTTTGGGCTT